AAGAGGAAGAGGAAGAGGAAGAGGAAGAGGAAGAGGAAGAGGAAGAGGAAGAGGAAGAGGAAGAGGAAGAAGAAGAAGAAGAAGAAGAAGAAGAAGATGATGATGATGATGATGATGATGAGGGCAATTTGTACAGCTTTGGTCTTGATTCTGAGCTAGCAAAGGCTGATTATGGCTCTGATGGTACAGAGTTGAGCCTTAGTCTATCTAGACCAAGTAGTGTGCATCCAAATCATTCGTATCCTATGCCCCGATTTTCAGTATCTCAATACTCCAGCTCTCCATTCACCAGGGAATTGCTGGCACACCAACAAGATGCGTCAAATCCAATTATTTATGCTGAATCTAATCCTTTGGTTCGGCACCCTGGGCCTAGTGTACACTTTCACGATCGAGCTGTGCATCAGCCCATCGGAATCAGCACTCCTGAAGTTAATCGTCGGGACTGTCATGTGTCTACGAAGCGTCAAGCTGTCTGTTTGCGCCATTCCGAGCTAGATCCCCCACAGTGCGTAGTGACGGAGACTCCAGAGTCGCCTAGTGGAGAGAAGAGAGAGCTCATCGAAGTGCGAAGAGTGAGAAGGCAACGCCTGCAAGAGCAAGGACAAGAGGACGGCAAGGAGGTGCTCATCCTAGCCCACTTTCAGCCAGCTCAATCAGGTGAGATACTCACATTTTGGTACTTGACTCCTCTATTCCGTGTAATAGGCTTACATTTTAAACCGACTTAATTTTTATACTGTGACACTTCATGTACCCCTTTCACTCGGCACGAGACATCCAGGTAATACTATCATAGTGAACTGTGACGTGAACAAAAAAAACATAATTTTCACTCATCATATCTAGTTTTATTTTACCTACTATTCACTTACACTGTTTTCGTGTGGTTTGACTACTCTTTAGATGGGCAAACTTCTAATTACTTGATGCAAATCTCCTCCGTTCAAAATCAGAGTTCTTACCATCAGAGCTCCTCTTCCATGCGACCTCTCCTTCCGGGCCCTGCCACACCCTCGGCCAGAGAAAGTTTACATTCTCCATCTGGTGCATCAACGTTAGCCAACTCCCGCAGCCAGTCGCATGTTCACGTCTCGACGGACTCGGCAAACATGCGGCCGATCTCTGAAGAGTCGCATTATATCATGACCAATGACCTCGGACGCCCAAGGGGCAATAGGGATAAGGAGGTCGGTAGCAACAAATGGACTTCACGAGTAAGGCTGATTGGCCGGCGAGGCACAGAATCTGACTCGAATGCATCTGGTAGTCAGCCGGCCGTTGATGAAGGCAGCCGGGTTGTTGGTGGTGCTGTATGTGGCGATACGGCCACCGAAATTGGGGTTCTAGGCATGGACAATCTTTCAGCCAGTGAGAGTAACCCTGCTTCTGCTGTACCCTTGCCGAAAGATTATCTTAATGACCCTCTCAACGATCGTGTTGCCACAGACGCGATTGATCCCGTCCCAACGGCTTCTATGACTTCAGTAGCCACGGCGGCCAGTGTGGCGACTGCTGCTTTGGTGCACTTCCACCATCGAGGAAGCCTGCAACTCTGGCAGTTCTTGGTCGCCCTTCTTGATGACCCGAAAAGTCAACATCTCATCTGCTGGACGGGTCGGACACTCGAGTTTAAACTGAACGAGCCAGAAGAGGTGGGTTTCAAACTGAGTGTGAAGTGGGGATGACTGGGGATGAGACCGACTTAAAATTTAATGCCTATTGCTTCGACATCTTGCTCATTCTTTCAGATGAGGTGGGAATTTCTATGAGTATAATACTCATTAAATCAGTAAGTAGTGTTAGCATGGCCGGCTCATTCTAAGCTTCCACGAAAGCTGCTAAGCCACTTACATTTTAAAACGAAGTTTCATATATCCATTTTAACAATTCTTAACGCTTTCCAGAAATGTTCGAAAAATGCTCCCAAAATGAATACGCAGAAATAAAAAACTGAGTGCTGTTGAGGTAAATGATATCTCATTGGAACTGAACATTACGTCACAGTGGAAGTAAATAGTAAGGAGCATTTTGGACCTTCTTCCTCCAGCCCAGGTGACGTAAAGCGGGCAGATGGGTAGTTCTCTCTAAAGAGATATAAGATAAAAATGTATGAGTAAATCAAAATAAATTAGCACCCTATCGTGAGCAGCAAAACTATTTGCTGCTGAAATTATGCCCTAATCTTTCAAATCTTCCTTCACTACTATTTGTGATATTAATTAAATAAATAAATGTCCCATAAATGCTTCTGTCTGGTCTTTGAAATCATAGTTTGGATAAAACGATAATATCTCTCGAAAGATAAATAACACTTTTATAGGAAAGAGATTAAAGCAACTATCATTTGTTAGTCACAATTCTCAGAAAGATAGGACCAATAAAGGCACCATTAACTTTTTTTCGATGCTAAATCTAAGTATTTGAAGTAAGCACTCGATATCGCACTTATACCAATTTCACAATGCATCAAAAATAGCTCATCAATACCTCTAGCAGGACTAAGGTGCGCGTTTCTAGAACATTTAGGATAACTGCGGCCTTATTCGGATAGATAATGTAATGGCTTTTAATGAAAAGTGAAAAATTCTCTTCAAGTTATTATAATTAGGATAGCAAAAAGTTCTCATACTACCCTGAGAAATGTATCTATTTTAACAATTCTTAAAGCTTCCCAGAAATGTTCGAAAAATGCCCCCAAAATGAATACGCAGAAATAAAAAACTGAGTGCTGTTGTGGTAAATGATATCTCATTGGAACTGAAAATTACGTGACGTAATAACTTAGTCACACAATGTCGTTTAGGGTGATGTACAGACAGATAGTGGAATTTTCTCATGATGTTGAGTAGGCTTCATGATTACATTGAATTTTATTTTGCATTGCCTCCCAAAATGCTTTATCATCCAGGGTGGAATTTCGTTTCGGCCTAGTTAGGCCTTATCCGCAACCTCAAATGGATTCGAAACGAGGTTGTGCACAACATAGCGAAATAGTTGTACTCGTCTACAGGGCCCTTGGTAACGGAAAAATTCGACTTTAAAGACTTTATAGAAGTGGTCTGACTTCGTGTTCGCAACGTGGTCATGCTGTCAGGACGGCTTACTTGGACGCACCTTGCCGGCGAAGCGCCTGAAAATGTACCAAGTCCATGGTCAAACACTGTAAATTATGATAACTACTATAGCAAAGAACCTTGAGCAAGGTACGTCCAATTAAGTCGCCATGAGAACACGGCCAAGTTGCGAAACCGAGGTGATACCACTTCTAGACATCGAAAGGAAACAGAAACTAGAATATAGGTCATGAAAGCTTGGTCATCATAACCAGCTAAATCTATGCTCGAAATTACACTTTTTTTCAGTGAGAGAAGTTCTCGAGATCACCAAAAATTCCTGAATAAAAATTAGCTTGCCGTTAAAGTCACATTTGCAACGTGACCCACCGGTATCACGGGTCAAATGGCACATTGCTTACACACTCGTTTCAATTCTCGTTGTGGATGCTGATGAGTTCACTATGGGGAAAGAACATTTTGGCGGTAAGGCTGACACTTTGAGGCCTTTTCATATCACTTTGGGCAAAATTCTACCATCAACTAAGTTATCGTTTAAGAAATACTGGTAGTTCGTAGCATGCATAGACAAGAAGACTTATTTACCTTATAAATAAATAAATAACTAAATATAAACATCACATTTTTAATATGAGATGTATTCACCCAATTTCGTCTAAGGTGATGAAGGACTGGTAGAAGAATTTTCTCACAATGATATGAGTTGAGCTGACGCTTTCATTGAATTTCACACAGCCTTGCTTTCCCAAAAGTTGTTCTCATCGGTCTTATAAACACCCCCAGCGGGAGTCGAACCGTGACAGTGCAGAATGGGAGCTTGACACGTTAATCACTCGACCACATTGCCATGAGTGCCCTTGGAAACGTCAGCTCTACTCATATCATTGTGGGTAAATTCTACTACCAGTCCTTCATCACCTTCAACGAAATTGGGTAGTCTCGAAACTCCACTCAAACACGAAAAATCACATTTTTAGACATGCTTTGAGCCTGCAGTCATTGGCATTTCTCTGAGCTTTTATTATTCCTACATACGTCTCCAGGTCGCACGTCTTTGGGGGCTTCAGAAGAATAGACCGGCCATGAACTACGATAAATTGAGCCGTTCGCTCCGTTACTACTACGAAAAGGGCATCATGCAAAAGGTGGCTGGTGAACGGTACGTCTACAAGTTCGTATGCGAGCCAGATCTCCTGTTTGCCCTTGCATTCTCCACAGATGATGCACTACCATCATCGATGCTGAATCCACTCGTATCAGTTGCATCTGTTGCAGCCTCGGCTGTCCCTACCATCACAACAACAGCCCCTTGCCTCCCAGTTGCGGCGATCACGACGTTGGCAACGACTATCAACAAAACAGTGGTTACTACCGCCACTAAAAGAGCTCATCACAGTGGTCCTCGGAGCAGTGCTGAGCATAGAAAAGAAGACCTTCACCCGACAGCACAACAGACAGTCTCATCGGAGCCCGTAGAAGGTAGATTAACTTCGATTTCAGCAAATTCTCTTCCAATTCACTCGATGAACGGTGCCACTACAGCCCGTCCACTAGAAACTGTACAGCTTCCCCCTGACAGCACTCTCAGTTCCATATCAGGTTGCTCCAACATCCGCAATTCCAATCATTTGTCTGGACTTCATCCAGAAACAGCCGGTATTACAGCCTGCAACCGATTTCACTATTCGGAGCTAGACGGTTTCTATACGACCTATTCCTCCTTATCGGAATTCGACACGGAAAGTTCCCACTTGCTCCGGTCGCCACCTCAACAATACAGCCAACAGTCACTGAAACCATCCACATCAGTCAGCCGCACTACATTCATCTGTCCTAGCGATGATAGTCCCGTAATAGTCAGTCCCAAACTGTCCTATGACTATTCCATTCCTCAGGCTTCCCACTTCGAAAGGGAAAATCCCGTTAGATCCGATTGTTCTGGCTTGCATGCAGGCGGCATCTTTCATGGTGTTGATGATCACCATTTCTATCAAGACGAGGCCTTTGCGGGCATAGACTCAGAATGTCCTTTTCGGCATAAGAGGTCTCATAACTTTTCGCTTTCCTCCACCACCGTGGTAAATGGAAATTGCTTCCTAAACGCCAACTCTCATCCTTCTACCGACTCATCATGCTCCGACTCTTCTTCCTGCTCTTCCTCGGCATCTACTGCCTCGTCTCCGACAGAATCACAAACATCTGACAATTCATTGGTCTCCGATCTTTGCCCACCAGCTGACGATTCTGCTTATTACCAAGGTACATGGCTTGAGGCTGATTCCATTCGGCCAGACATTTTGCTCCAGACTGGTCACCGACGTATTAGTTATCCACTGGAACTCGAATATGACATTGGACATCTTCTACCGAATGATGAAACGACAAGTTCCGTGATTTCATATCCTATGAAAGCTGTGTCAGGATGTGAGACTACTAGAGAGCAGCATATTTCGCTTATTTTTTCTCAGTCCCTCAGCCCGAACCTCGTGGTTGGAAATGAACTTCATCAGAGCCCAGAAGTAGACGCTCCAGCATTGGTCTTTAATCATACTAGTTACAATTATTACAATGAACCTGAGATTAGTTGTAATCAGAAGCAGCAGCAGCAGCAACAACTTCCTTCCAGTGATGTGGCACAGGCCCATTGGCCGGTAGTAATTTCCTCCCGACATACAGAGTGCTACACCTCTCCCAGATCGGAGTATCCACCCACAGCCGTTGAAAAACTAAGTGAACAAAAGACGATTGAAAGCATGGAATCGATGGTGGGGTCCCAAATGGAATTAGATGGAATGCTGAATTCAGCATGGAGACACTGATAAGCATGAAAGGACAGGAAGGGGAACTTGGCTCTACCTGCCATACTTTCTCACCGAAGAGATTTTTCCAGACAATCATAGCTTGTACATACGGCATGCATAATCAAGACGTACACCTACACTGTATATAAAGTACACACTTCCACCTCCCTCTCAGCCCATCCACTTCTTATTACTTTTCGAATTCCTGTAGGGTCATTGAATTTAACAAATTGCAGATAACTTCTTGAAAAACGACCTCCTCTAAATAAGATTGTATTTGTTATCCTATTTCATTTCCAATCACTTTCTTTTTCATCCATAACTTTGTCAAAAATCTCTTTTTTATTTCTGATCAACTATATATTGGCTCTTGTATATACGGAGCACTCTTTAAGGCTCCATTGCACCATTGTATGATAAGACTACAGACA